GGAGGACAACACAAATACTGTCAGCTTTCTTGCTGTGTAGCCAGATGTTCAGTGGCAGGCTCACTTGAATGTTGAGTCAACCCAGAAGGGGACTCAAGATCAGTCACAACTATTTCAGAGGAGAACAAAAATACTGTCAGCTTTATTGCTGTGGCGCCAAATGTTCAGTGGCAGGCTCACTTGAAGACGGAGGCAGCCTGATGGGGACTTGATATTAGTCCCAACTACTTTGGAGGAGAACACAAATATTGTCAGATTTCCTGCTGTGGTGCCGGATGTTCACTGGCAGGCTCACTTGAAGGCTGAGTCAACCCTTTTGGGGACTCGAGATCAGTCACAAGTACTTTGGAGGAGAACAAAAATAATGTCAGCTTTCTTGTGGTGCCAATGTTCAGTGGCAGGCTAAGATGAAGGCAGAGTCAACCCTCATGGGGACTCAAGATCAGTCACAACTATTTCGGAGGGGAACACAAATACTGTCAACTTTATTGCTGTGGTGCCAACTGTTCAGTGTCAGGCTCACTTGAAGACGGAGGCAGCCTGATGGGGACTTGACATTAGTCCCAACTACTGTGGAGGAGAACACAAATATTGTCAGATTTCTTGCTGTGGTGCCGGATGTTCACTGGCAGGCTCACTTGAAGGCTGAGTCAACACTGATGGGGACTCGAGATCAGTCCCAATTACTTTCGATGAGAACAAAAATAATGTCAGCTTTCTTGCTGTGGTGCCAATATTCAGTAGCAGGCTAAGATAAAGGCAGACTCAACCCTGATGGGGACTCAAGATCAATCAAAATTATGATGGAGGAGAACACAAATACTGTCAGCTTTTTTGTTGTGGTGCTGGATATTCAGTGGCAGGCTAAGTTGAAGTTGGAGTCAACCCTGATGTGGACTTGAGAACAGTCAAAATATGTTGGAAAAGAACACAAATATTGTCAGCTTTCTTGTTGTGGTGTGGATGTTCAGTGGTAGGCTCAGTAGAAGCCAAGGTGAACCCTGATGGGACTCAAGATCAGTCACCACTACTTCAGTGGAGAACACAAATACTGTTAGCTTCCTTGCTGTGGTGCCAATATTCAGTGGCAGGCTCACTTGAAGCCTGAGTCAACCCTGATGGGGACTGGAGATCAATCACAACTACTTTAGAGGAGAACACAAATATTGTCAGCTTTCTTGCTGTGGTCCCAGATGTTTAGTAGCATGCTAAGTTGAAGGTGGAGTCAACCTTGACAGGGACTGGAGATCAGTCAAAATTATGTTGGAGGAGAACACAAATACTGTCAGCTTTTTTGCTCTGGTGCCGGATGTTCAGTGGCAGGCTTACTTGAAGGTGGAGTCAACCCTGATGGGGACTCAGCATTAGTCCCAACCTCTTTGGAGGAGAATACAAATACTGTCAGCTTTCTTGCTGTGGTGCCAGATGTTCAGTGGCAGGGTCACTTCAAGGCAGAGTCAACCCTGAAGGGGACTCAAGATCAGTGAAAATTACATTGGAAGATAACACAAATTGTCAGCTTTCTTCTGGTGGTTTCGATGTTCAGTGGCAGGCTCACTTGAAGGTGGAGTCAACCTTGATGGGGACTCAAGATCAGTGTAAATTACTTTGGAAGAGAATCAAATACTGTCAGGTTTTTTGCTGTCATGCTGGGTGTTCAGTAGCAGGCTCATTTTAAGGCAGAATCAATTCTGAGGGAACTGGAGATCAATCTGAATTATTTTTGTTCAGTTGCAGGGTCATTAGAAGATGGAATCAACCCTGCAGGGATCTCACTTCTCCCTTCAGCATATGGGGGTAGGGAGGAAAGATCCAGGTCTTGGTGGAAGGTAAGGAGGAAAAGCCCTGGGTGGATAGGCATTCCTCATTGCAAATGGATAATATGGTGGACCTGGGAAATCTCTTGGTGGAAAATCATATGGAGAAACTCCCAACCCGATTCCTGGAGGAGGTGGGGGGCAAAGAGGTCCTCTTCTCATATCGGTAACATATGGATAATGCTCTCTGCCAAATCCTGTATTTGGAACATCAAGTGCAGAAGGATCTTTGTGTAAAAAGTTGAATTTAAACTCCATTTCAGTTAACTTTTGTCTCCTGTGAGCATTTTCTTTCCTGAAATTGTCGAGGATTTCTTCAGCAGTCTGAGCTGCCAACCAATTTTCGTGTTCTTTTCTCTTACAGGAAGTCATCCGCCCTTGATAAGAAAGAGTCATTCTTTCCAACTTTTCTTCAAGTTCTTGGGCTTGCTTTCTATAGTTCTCCAGCTGGTCAGTGGTATAGTTGATCTTTCTGTCTACTTTAGAAAGCTTCTCTTCATTCTCTAACTTTTTGAAAAGTCTCATTGAAGTTTCTCGATATAATTCAGCCATTACTTTAAGTTGCTGCTGAAGCCTCTGATTCTCACTTTCAACACGTGTGTTTTCTGACTGTAAAGATGTTTGTTCAGACTGAAGATGTTTAATATGGTCTCTAAGATCTTTATTTGTTTTATTAATTTTGGACAGCTGAATATCAATTTCGTTTACTACTTCTTCTAAAGCTTTCAAAAAAGTATGTAACTTAGCACCATGAATCAGTTTCTTCAAAGCTCCTTTTGGAGTATCATCTAAGTAGGCACTATTTTCCACTTCATTGTTCATTTCCAGTTTCAAGTTATGATCACCCATTCTGTCTTCTCCAAGCATAGAAGCCCAATCTTTGATCTTCAGCAAGTGTTCACTCAGAGTCTTGATATGATTGTCTTTATCAATTAGAACTTGTTCTGTGTGCACTTTGGAGTCCTCAAATGATGTTTTCTGTTTCTTACGTTCACTCACTTGTTCTTCCCATACTTCAGCTTCTTGCAAAAGCTGCTTATGGATTCTCTGAAGTTGATAATTTTCATTCAAAGCATCTTTTTTTGCTATGTTCAGTTGTTCTTCATTCCTTCGAAATATGCTGAAGGTCATCTTGGCTTCAGCTATTTGTGATTTGAGGAATTTTGAGTGGCCTTCTAGTGACTCTGTTGTTTCTGAAATATCCACTACCAACTTATCTAGTCCAGTATGTTTGGATTTCTCTTCCTTTAACTTTTTTTCTAGATAGAATATTTTGTCCTCAATTTCAGAAATGGATCTGTTAAGCTTTTCACAGGCTGCCTTCAAACGTTGTGCTTCTGCTGTCTCCTTCTCAAAGCTGTTATCCTCTGAAGATGACTCTGCTTCATAGCGTTCACATTCTTTTTGAACATGCCTAGATTTTTCAAGCAGTTTACATTTTTGTTCAATTAGTTCAGACAGGAGTGCAGCAAGCTTTTCCTCTCTTTTTGCATAACGCCAACTTCTAATTGATCTGATACTTCTCCACAAAAAAAGGGGAATAGCAAAAAATCCAATAACACCTGCCCATACCACTAATTCCCATGGAAAACCATTAGAATTTGATACCATACATTTTAGCAGTGCCGCCACGATCCTGGGTAGCTCATAAAAGACCATCCCCAAGTATGGCTGAGGAGTAGCTCTGGGCTCCTCCACAGCACCAAGGCTGTTCTGGTGGTCACCGCAGTAACCCCAGCCTGTTGGGGTCACAATAAGCATTTGGAACACATAGCCTTCAGTTTGGAACCGGAGCAGACCACTGCGGAGCTGGCTGCAGGGGGAGTTGGGGGACCCAGGAGGTGGGGAGCACTAGAGAACAGGTAGCCTTCAGTCTGTAACCTGAATCAATACCTGGCAACAAGAGAGGACCACTGTGGAGTCAGCTGCGGGGGGAGCTGGGGGATGTGGGCACCCACAGGCCTCACAGGCCCATGCTGCCCACCCTGACCCCCTTGTTACACTTTACATTCTAAGGCAGTGCAGGTCCAGGCCCGATCCCCATTTAACTGTTTTATATTGGTAATATCATATTGTGTTAATTACTTTAGCTTGTTAATAATAAAAACCTTTGTCAAGGAGAGACTGCTAATTTGTATTTCTTCAAAATTGCCTTGGCCATTATTGACATTTTGCTCTTCTATGTGAACTCTACTATCACCATATAAAGTTTCATTTAAAAAAAGATCATTTTAGCTGTTTTCTGTTTGTTTTTAGAAACAGGGTCTCGCTCTGTCACCCAGGCTAAAATGCAGTGGTACGATCATAGCTCACTACAGCCTCAAAACCCTGTACTCAAGAGATCCTCCCACCTCTGCCTTTCAAGTAGCTAGGACTACAATTGTGTGCCACCACACTGAGACATTTTAGCATTTTGAATTGCATTATATTTACAGATATTTTGGGACAAATTTCCGTAGCTATGGAAATTGATTTTTTGCATCATGAAAGCAACATTTTCCCCCTTTAAGATTCTTTCATGTCCTTCACAAACATTTTGTAGTTTTCTGTTAATGTTTTATTGTTTTTGTGCATACTTTGTTTTTATTTATTTTTTTATTTGTTTATTTTTGGTAAGAAGGTCTATTTTATTCACAAAGTGGTGGTGGTGATGCTCAAAGGTAATTGGATTCAGAGACAGGGTCACAGCACTAATGAACTGTGGAACCTTCAACCACATGGTAGACCAGTCACTTAGGATGGACTGAGGAGGTGCTGCCTTTGTTGAACCCTGCCACACCCACACCATCTGTCATGCCCTTGGCTCTCCCAGCTTTGAGAACCCAACTCCCATTCCTTACATGGGGTGATTTATACAGTGCCCAGGATCTTTCTTCAGAAGAAAGAGCTGCTTGTCCTCATTTTTTTAACATAATGGTAATTCAGTGAGGTTGTGGGGAGAAGTTAGGGGTGGGGGTGGCTAGGAACATGGATAAAATAAGATTAGATATGTTCTGATAACTGTTAAAGCTGAGTGATAAGTACAGGGTGTTTACTTTTCTATTCTCTTTATTTTGTGTATGCTGTGGTTTGAATATTTGTCCCCTCCAAAACTCACGTTGAAACAATCCCCAATTTGGTAGTATTGAGAAGTGGGGCTATTGAAAGGTAATGGAGTTGATGGACTA